GAATATGAGACTGTTTTTTTTTACAATGTAGAAGTGATGCAAGGAGGGAAGAGTATATGGAAGAAAAAGAGAGGGGTTTTCAAGAGAGAGTGGTTTTTGAAGAAATGTAAAAAGAGAGCAAATGACGTACGTGGGTGAGATGTTATCAACAAATTTTGTTGGAAAATAAGAAAAAGTTTTGGAGTGAGTTTAACAAGTTAAGAAGAATGCCATAAGTAAACAAATGGATTTGATCGTTTAAAATAGGAGAGGACAGAGTTATTAAATGGAGAAGTAGAGGTATTGGGTAGATGTACGGTATATTTTGTGGAATTTGTCTAAAATGTTGATGAAGATTGGGAAGCTGTGATTTCGCGTTAATGGACACGGAGGAATAACATATTGTAGGAGTGTGGAAGTGCCAGTTGTGAGTGTGGGGGAAAAGTTAGGTGAGGCAGTAGGTTAAAATGAAAGGGGGTAAGGCAGCGGGTTGATGGGATAAAGATAAAATGTTTAAAAGCAGTGTGGGGATATAGTTTTGGAGTGGTTGGTTCAATTATTTAATATATGTACTCGAAGAGGGGGTAAGGTACCTAGGAGATTGGCAGAGGAGCATGCCATAGTTCATTTGTTAATGGCAAAAGGGAACAATATATTATCAAGAGAGTGCAAAAAATTATTGGGGGATAAGTCTGCTAAAATACCTGGTTAAAAGTGTTGAGTAGAGTTATTATTGAAGATTTTTTGAGTAAGTCGGAGAATAGGATAGCAGATGGAACAAGGAGGCTTTAGGAAAAGGTTGGGGTGTTGTGTGGACCAGGTGTTTACAGTGAAACTTATAAGTGAACAGTATTTAGTTAAGGTTTAAGAGGTTACTTTGGTTGCGCATTTATGGATTTGGAAAAGGCGTTTGTCAGAGGGTCGGATAGGGGGGGCAATGTGGCAGATGTTGCAAGGGTATGGTCTGTAGGAGGTAGGTTACTGGAAAGCAGTGAAGAGTTTTTACGAGGATAGTGGAGGCTCAAGTTAGAGCATGTAGGTGAGGGAATTATTTCCCGTAAAAAGTAAGGCCTTAGACAAGGATGTGTGATGTCACCCGTGGATTTTGTTTAATATATTTCTATAGATGGGGTTGTAAGAGAAAGTAAATGCGAGGGTCTTGACAAGTGGCGTGGAAGTTAAAAAGGATAAAGAATCACACAACAAAGTGGGAGCTTGTCACAGCTGCTATTTTGCTGATGACATGTGCTATGGGAGATTCTGAAGAGAAGTAGCGAGACTTGGTGGATGAATTTTTGGTAGGGTGTGCAAAAAGAAGAATATGTTAAAGTGATTACAGGTATGAGTTAGGGTTATTGAGAGATAAACCAAAAAAAGATTAGGTGATGAAAGATTCGAATTTCAGATTTGGAGGGAGAGAGTTTGGAGGAGGTGTATGTATTCAGAATATTTGGGGGTTCAGTGGTAGTGTTAGCGGTGGGGGTCTATGAATGATGAGGTGATCACAGAATTGATGAGGGTTAAAAAAAAAAAAAAGAGAGTGAGTGGTGCCTCTAGGAGTCTGTGGAGTACAAAGACTTTGTCCTTGGAGGCACCCCAATGAGGGGAATGTAGGTGGTATAGTTTTACCAACGCTTTATTTGGGGGTGTGAAGCATGGGTGATGAATGTTGAAGCGAGGAGAAGGCTGGGGCAGTGGAGATGTCATGTCTGAGGGCAATGTGTGGTGTGAATAAAATGCAGAGAATTCGTAGTTTGGAAGTTGGAGGAGGTGCGGGATTACCAAAACTGTTCCCCAGAGGGCTGAGGAAGGGTTGTTGAGGTGGTTCGGACATGTAGAGAGAATGGAGCGAAACAGAATGACTTCAAGAGTGTATCAGTCGTAGTGGAAGGAAGGCGGGGTAGGGGTCGGCCTAGGAAAGGTTGGAGAGGGGGGTAAAGGAGGTTTTGTGTGCGAGGGGCTTGGACTTCCAGCGGGTTTATGCGTGAGCGTGTTTGATAGGAGTGAATACAGACAAATGGCTTTTAATCTTGACGTGCTGTTGGAAGTGTGGCAAAGTAAACATTTATAAAGGGGGTTTTCAGGGAAACCGGCAGGCCGGACTTGAGTCCTGGAGATGGGAAGTACAGTGCCTCACTCTGAAGGAGGGGTGTTAATGTTCAGTTTAAAAACTGTGTGTAAAGCACCCTTCTGGCAAGACAGTGATGGAGTGAATGATGGTTTAAAGTTTTTCTTTTTCGGGCCACCCTGCCTTGGTGGGATCGGCCCGTGATAATAAATAAATAAATAAATAATAAATAAAATTTATATATATTTATTTTTATATATATATTTTATAATATATTATATATATATATATATATAAATATTATATATATATATAATATATATAATATATAATATATATATGTATATATATATAATATATATATATAATATATATATTTTGTTTTATTAAAATATAATATATTATAATATATAATTTTATATATGTATATAATTTAAAAATATAATATATAATATAATATGTATATATATATAATTATAATTTTATAATATATATATGTATATAATTTTAATATATATATGTATATATATATATTTTATATATGTATATTTATAATATTATATATATGTATATATATTAATATATATATTATATATAAAATAATTATATATTATAATATATATATTTTATATATATATAATATATATATATGTATATATATATAAAATATATATGTTTATATATATTATATATATATATATTATATATATTAATTATACATATATCTTTTAATATATAACCCCTGCAACCACAAGTAGGTAAGTACAACTAGTTGAGTACAGCTAGGTGAGTACACACGCGCCTGCCTGCCTGCCTCCCTCTTGACCCCGCCTTGTAGACTAATTGTGCGTGATTTTTAACTCGTTGATTTTTACGTACTCTTGAAGCTGTGTATTAAGCTTACTTTCACCTGCTCTTGAAACTGTATATGATGATGTGTGTGTGTTTGTGTGTACGCGTGGAGGGGCCAGGTGTTGCCAGTTAGCCAGGTGTGTGGTAACAGGTCCACTTCTCTGGTTATAATTCTGGCTTCCTGGGAGGCTGCCTAATGTCTCAAGTTCGAGTTTCGGCCACTCAGTATTGTTCTTCCAACACACACACACACACACACACACACACACACACACACACACACACACACACACACACACACACACACACACACACACACACACATACTACATACATATGTCAGCATAGTTGCTGATCCCTGTATTCCCAGTATTATATAGCATAGCATATTAGTATCATCCATGTGCTTTAGATACGAGATCCCTTGTAGGCCTGTGGCTTTGTGTGACGTCACGGGATACAGATGTGTAGGCTCATACCTCTGTCCCGGCCTCACTCGGCGGCAGACCATTCAGCGGACAGGCAAGGCAGCTGGGCTCCATCCCTCATCTCAGTCTGACAATATATAGTTACCATCCTACAAGTGTGTCTACCTTCAACCTACGATATCTCCATTTAAGAACCCTTACGATATATATATATATATATATATATATATATATATATATATGCAATAAGATCACAGTAAACAAGTGATATCACAATATGCTTCACATTAATATTATCAGTTCCTTGATAATGTGAGAATTCACGAATGCCCTTGGAATTTCACTATTTTTCACAGTGGTTGTTCTGCATATACATATATAGGCCTAGAGGTACCTTTCAACTCCCGTGGTTGTTTTGCATCTTGTATCGCTCTTGGAGATTCTTATTATCAAGCCTGACCCAGTAGTGCCACAGTGCCCATGTGTTACACTTGTGATTTAAAGTCATATATCACTAGGATGGCACCACCTGGGAGAGTGCCGGAAATGCGTGCCATCGTCAGTGATCTTGCCTGGATGGAGCCGACGCCAACCTTCGCGGCTGTCATAATAAAGTTATTGACGGCGCTTGTTTCTTTTTCAACATTTACAAATAATCAAGTTGCGCTTAAAGGTCGTCCAGGATGGTTCACTGGTAAGAGTACACGATAGTCATACCTACAGCCATTCTGATAATCCTTTTTTATCTGACCATGCAAAGCGTGTCACGTAGATATTGTGGATATAGACACAAGGCAGGATAAAGTGATCCAGTATTGACAACGTTTAGTCCCATACAGTAGGCTTTATCAAGTCACAAACGATGTCAGTAATGGTTCGCATGATACTGCATTTGTCTCTATTCATCTTGTGGGTATTTTATACCATTGCAACCCACGTAGACATTTGTCTTTTAATGTCATTATTTCAACAACAGTGACAAGATGTTCACAGTTCAGCAAGTAGAGAGTGTAAGGTTATCTTAGACTTGCGAATTTAGGTGTTCTCTAAGGTGAGATGCTACTGAGAACAGTACTTGCATCTGTGTAAATAGTGTGGTGGATGCAAGCAGAATGGATGTGACGCTCCTCACTCCTGGGGTGGTGTGGCACGAGACTTGCTTCAGCGCAGTTATGTCTACTTGAAGGACGAACCTCAAGAGTCAGTCTGTGTGTTAACTTGTGGCACCCTCACCTCCCACCTGCCTCACATCCCTCACTACCAGGACCCACCCTCCTCCCTAACCCTTCCTCTCCCTCCCTCCTCCCTAACCCTTCCTCTCCCTTCCTCAATCTCTCGGCCATCTCATCCTTCCTATCCCCCGCTATCCCTTTACACCTCTTCCCCATCCCTCATACACGTGCACCCAACAGTTTTCCCCAACATAGCACACAGTTTGCCCCAAACCACAGTTTCCCCACACACTAGTTCCCTACACACACTACAGTTCCCTAACACACCGGTTTCCTACACACCACAGTTCCCTAACACACCAGTTTCCTACACATCACAGTTCCCCCCACACACCAGTTTCTCTCTCTCTCTCTCTCTCCCCACACACACACCCACACACCATAGTTCCCACTGAGATATATAACTCTTCGAATCTCTAAACAAATTTTTCCTTTTTCCAGGTAAGTGAGGTGAAGCAACAACTGTCCTGGGACCGTGCTGTAAGTTGGTGTTACTCTTGTTTATAACAATTTATTACTGATTTTCATATTGCAACAGACGTCTGTATCAACACCAGGCAACCAAATTTCTTAATTACAACAGAAAAGCAAGAACATACGGTTAAAGACGCTACTGTATAGTTGCATATTCTCGCACGCCACTTACCATCTATGTACGTTTTCCCTTTCCTCGTTCTATATACCTATGAGTGTATATTTCTGTATGCTCACACCCACACTGGGAGTTTAAATCCTCTTTTAAAGATTCAAGTGTCCTGGACTGGTGGTGTGGAGGTATGGTGCAGCCTTAAATGACCCTTGTGTAGTCTGTAGTCCTAGAAGACAACACACCAGTCTTCCTCTCCCAGCACAGATCATCACAGTTGTCCCATGACACGACTTTAATAAATCAGACAAACTGAGTCATCCTTTAAATGACTTTTATCAACCTGATAAAGTTCGAGGTGAACGAAACTTTGGTTCAATAAGGTCTGTTACGTCTATATCTGTGATTTACTATGTGCCTTTCATGCGGCAAGACTTGTTAAACACTGGATAAAACTTAGAGCGAAACGTTGTCTATATATACTTGTTTGCTCTACACACTTTTTTTTTGATGAAGTAGACGCATGTGCAACATCTGGGTGTCTTTATTGTAGACATTTCACCATCCAGTGGCTTTGTCAATACAAATTCAAGAACATAAAGGGAAGACAGTAGAACTGTACACAAAAGATGAGGTAATCAGTCCCTCAGCCTTGGAGTTGAAGAGCACCGTGGTCTTAAAGACTGCGATTCTAAAGATACCCAAGTGTTGCACATGTCTAATTTATCAACCAGTCGGATCTCTGAACCATTTATCTACATGGTAAATAATTCCAACACACGTGTAAGGGACACGTGTGCAACGGTAAGCATGTGTGTTAAGGACACGTTTCGCCCACTAGCCAGTCCAGTGATTCACTGACGAAGACTCTGGTGGGTAGAAAGGATTCTTTTAAATAAAGTGGGTCATGTCTCTTGTGCATTTCAAGCGGCGTTCCTAGGAATGCACTACCAAGCAGTGTGACTCACCACCATACACAATGACCAAGACACATGTGCAGCAGTTGGGTAGCTTGATGAGGATACCCAACTGTTGCACGTGTCTTAATCATCAGCTTGTCTGTATTTTATACTATTTTCACCAAACAAGTATACACGTGGTATATAAACCCAGTGGTGTGTACATCTAAGTCTTTATCAGAAGCGTTCAGTAAATCCTCAGCCTTTGATGCGAGTCGAGGCATTTTAAAAACCTTTGTAAAAACAATCATTATCTCAAGTTTGTCCCACCATCAAGCACTCGGGTCCTAACTTGAGGTTTTTGTGATACTGACATCTTGCTACACTGCCGTCAGCGTTACGTCTTGCTACAGTGCCTTCAGCGTTACGTCTGCAGTGTCGTCAGCGCTACGTCTTCCACAGTGCCACCAGCCTCGAGCTGTTTGCAACTTCTGTATAGTTTCTTACGTTCTGTCTGTCACGTTACCTCTGACGCATATATGGTGAAGGGTGGATGGGTGGGTAAGCAGACAGATGCAGAAAGGCAGGCAAGCAGACAGATAAGTAAATAAACATGGCAGGCAAGGAAGCAGATAATACAAAATAATAATACAAATAATAATAATAATACACATTAAACTTGGTTAAGAACGAAAGAAATCGACTTGGATGGCGCTCTAACAATTTTATAAGTTGTTCTTCTCTTTCTTTCTTTCTCTCTCTCTCTCTCTCTCTCTCTCTCTCTCTCTCTCTCTCTCTCTCTCTCTCTCTCTCTCTCTCTCTCTCTCTCTCTCTCTCTTTCTCTCTCTCTCTTTCTTTCTCTCTCTCTCTCTCTCTCTCTCTCTCTCTTTTTTTTTTTTTTTTTTTTTTTTTTTTTTTACACAGGGTTTGACAAGGTTAAGGATCCCTAGCTTTATTGACAGCTATTTACAGGTTAAGGATTCCTAACTTTATTGGCAGCTAAGAGCTGTTACCTACATCAGCTATTTGAAAGCATTTTTGTTATGAGACATACAAGTAGGGAACAGGATGAAGTTGGAGCCATCTGTGGGCCAGCATTTTCATTTGATCAACTGACGTTATCTCGTTGACATCATTATGCTGTACGAATGTGTTCCATACTCGAGTCATCCTGGGTATGTATGATCTCAGATGGAGTGATGTTCTGGAGAAGGGTACAGCCAGAGTGAAGTTGCTGCTTTCTGCCCGTCTTGTGGCATAAAAGCTTGTTTCACGCTGTCCTCGAAGTGGATCCAAGTGTGGTATTTTGACAATATTGGCCTTGTACATAACAGTAAGGCCACCCATCCCTCCTATGTTGAAGGCTCTGCTGAAATGACAGATCTATCCAGGATGGGTCCAGGCGAGAGATGAGACGTCTTGCTCTGTTCTCTACTCTGTCAAGCAGTCGCAGATAGAGAGGGGGGGCAGGCAAACCAAGAAAGTGGAGCATACTCAAGGTGTGAGCGTACTTGTGCCTCGTACAGGGATCTTGCAACCCCTACTGTCAAGCAGATGCGAGATACGGCGAAGTGCTGTAAGCTTCCTGGTGCCTTGTTTGCAAGATTTACAACATGGTTCTTCATGGTTAGTTTGGAGTCAAATTTCACCCCAAGGATATCAACTTCTTCTCCAGGTGCCAACATCGTCCCATTCATCCTTACTACTGCGCCAGCATTACCATCATGGTGCCTAGAGACGAACATTCATTTGCGTTTTTTCAGGTGCAAATGTTACTTGCCATCTATTTCCCCAAGCTGATATAGCTCTCAGCTGGTGATTGATGTAGCTTAGAGCAGCTGGCATTTCTTCTCTTGGATAAGTGAATGTCGTGTACAGTCGTCTGCATATGCATGTGATTCTGGGATGAGATGAAGAAGGTCGTTGAAGTAGACATTCCATAACAGTGGACCCAGCACACTTCCTTGTGGAACGCTTGCCCCAATAGGATGCCTTGCTGATTCCGTTCCATTGAGGACTACACTTAGAGATCTACCATGAAGGTAATCACTGAGGAGACATAGCGTAGAGCCTGCAATTCCAGTGCTTGAAGTTTTGCTAAGAGGCCCTGGTGCCACACCGGTCGAAAGGCGCCAGCAATGTCCAGTGCTACCACACAGCTGACTTTGGATTCATCCAGTGACTGGTGCCACTTAGTGGAGAGGTTTAACAACAGATCAGCAGCAGAGTAACCTTTCCTGAAGCCATATTGACGATCACAAAGTAGTGAGTGGTAGTCAAAAAAATCTGTCATTTGTCTTGAGATTATTGTCTCAAGGATCTTACCAGTGATTGACAGGAGTGACACTGGTCTGTAGTTGCTGATTTCTGCTCTGCTCTTCTTTTTGTGAACAGGGACTACATTTGCCTCTTTCCATGGAGAGGGCCATTTACACTGTACTAGGCAGTGCTGAAAGATGCGAGTTAGAGGTGCTGCTAGCTGGTCTGCACATCTTCTCAACAATCTTGGGCTCAACTTGTCTGGGCCCACAGCCTTTTCTTGGTCAAGTGATTTAAGAAGGAAATGCACCTCCTCCTGCCTTATTGTCACCACTGACAGTTTTGACACAGTTCTTGCAGCTAGCCAAGGAGGGTCCCTTGCTGGATCAGGAACTTGCATTTTGGTAGCAAAGTGTTCTCTCTCTCTCTCTCTTTCTCTTTGTCTCTCTCTTTCTCTCTCTCTCTCTCTCTTTCTCTTTCTCTTTCTCTCTTTCTCTCTTTCTCTCTTTCTCTCTCTCTCTCTCTCTTTCTCTTTCTCTTTCTCTCTCTCTCTCTCTCTCTCTCTCTCTCTCTCTCTCTCTCTGAAGTGTACATGTCATTTTATTTTCTAGTCTGCATTAGCATAACTGTACAGCACTTTTGATAGAGGAAAGTTATAATCGTAACCATGCAAGAATTATTTCGTCAGTGGAACATGGTGAGTGATTGGAAGTTCTTTCCCAGACCTGAAGACAGCACAGTGCTTGGCCAGGCTGGTGTGTGACTACACTCAGGTGCTACCTTCCCTTCCTAACACAACACCGGGAAAATACTCCTCAGACGGTGGAGAAATATAGTGAATTACGCGACAACGTATGAGGTAAACTCGAGAGCACAGTCATTGTACACTGACGCCTGCAGGAGTGCACGTATTTAATGATTCTCTCTCTCTCTCTCTCTCTCTCTCTCTCTCTCTCTCTCTCTCTCTCTCTCTCTCTCTCTCTCTCTCTCTCTCTCTCTCTCTCTCTCTCTCACTAGTCAATTCACGCCTCATTCTACTATCCTGTCTTCGTATGATTAACGTTGTCATCCCTGTATGTTTCTCGTAGCAATAGCACGCAAATTGTAGTGGTAATAGTATTAGGAATTTAAAGTTGTAGGAATAGTGGTGGTGGTAGGAGGTAGTTGTTGTGGGGGGGGAGTGGTGTCGGGTGTAGGTGGTGGTGTAAGTTGGTTAAATTGTTCGTTAAACTGCTGCTGCTAGTACCAACAGACTGATTGATCAAGCCGTCAGGAAACTTAGTTTGAGTCCGCACCGAGGATGTGTTGTCTCCAGGAGTTACCAACATGTAGATAGGTAAGACTTACGTGGTGGGAACACCCTCAGTGTGATGTTGCCTGGTGTATGATAGTTACTTGGTGAGTGTACTGGACAGTGTCACTCATCCCGCGAGTGTGCTGGACAGTGTCACTCATCTTGTGGCACTGCTACACAGTGTCACTCATCTTGTGGCACTGCTACACAGTGTCACTCATCCGGCGAGTGTGCTGGACAGTGTCACTCATCTTGTGACACTGCTACACACTGTCACTCATCCGGCGAGTGTGCTGGACAGTGTCGCTCATTTCCCCCGAGTGTGCTGGACAGTGTCACTCATCTTGTGACACTGCTACACACTGTCACTCATCCGGCGAGTGTGCTGGACAGTGTCACTCATCCCGCGAGTGTGCTGGACAGTGTCACTCATCCGGCGAGT